CAGCGTTCTTCTCTGCGTGTGTCCGATGCATTTCCACTTTCTTTGGCGTATTTTTTTGGCAAGTTTTTTAGCTCTTCCACTGCCTGCTAGAGTTTCTTTTCTGGCCATCTGATCTTCAGTATGGAGTCAGTGAAGGCAGCCGTTAATGAAAGTCTGCAAGAAAGTGTTAGAAATGTCTTCAGTGACACGTGAAGTCTCTGAAGTATATAGAAGAAGTGACTTGACATTAGTGTTGAAAATCTGAATCTTATTCTTTGTTCAAACTGCAGTAGATTTCTCGAGGGATTTGAGAATACAAGAAGTCTCTCTTTGTGTTCCGATCTCGCCTTCGATTTTCTCACGCTCTCTGCCTGTATTTGAAACGATGATGTCCAAATAAGTGGAGGAAGTGACTTCTTTCAAATCTATTCCGTTGATAGTGGTTTCTGCCTGTTGTTCACTTGAAGTCCTGTCTTCGCTGCTTCTGCAGCCAACTGGCTGGTTTTCATCTGTAGGTCTTCGATTATTTTCGTAACTAAGATTGAGAATACACGTACGAAGTGCTTATACAAAAATAACAGTGTCTAGCATTACGGGGAAACCTCTGTCAGTCAAAACTCATCCATTCAGAAGGAAAATACAATCGTTCAGATCTCGTTTTTGTCAATTTTAGTACTTTTCTATATCACTCTATTTCTTCTTAGTGTTGTGTTTCGAAGTACAGTAACATAAACTGACTCATCTGTGTGCGAGGTTTTGCACCGATTCTCTTGTCTGTCATTTGTCAACTAACTAATTCATTTCTGTATGATTTTTAAAGGTAAGATTTACTAAAGTTTGAATAAAGTTGTGAATAAGTATACCTATAAACCTAAGTTATCTGTTCTTTTACTTCTGACATTCTTTTCGTTAACTGCTTGTTTCTATAATACGATGAAACTTTTATAACAGATGCCTCGTATCATGATGAAATAAGATTTGTTGGAGGATTTCATCATTAGTTGAGATCAGTCAAAGAACCATCGGAAAACCTGGGAATACTGAACAGCTGTTTCGTTCTAGTTTCGGACTCCTCAACAGTATGTGCCCACCACAGGGATTCTAAACCAGGACCTTCTGGTTACAAGGCGACCTCGTGAATTGACAGAAGTTAGAATTCATAGGCCATTGGATCAGGTCTTAGTGGCTTAATGGTCTACAAGCTCGCTAGCTGTGTAACCAGAAGGTTCCGGGTTCGAACCCCTGTAGTGGATGCGTACTGTTGAGGGGTCCTAAACTAGGACGAAACAGCTGTCCAGTACTACCTGCTGATTTTCCAGCGGTTCTTTAACTGATGTCAGTTCATGATGGAATCTCCCAATCAATCAGACAGTATCCCTACAAAACCAATATTTGGAAATAGGATTTCTTGAATATTGATGTTTCCAACTGACTTTCAATAAATTGTTGGTATATATATATATATATATATATATATATATATATATATATATATATATACCTTATTGCTTGATTCCTTTTGGAAAATCCTTAAACTTGAACTGCCTATATAAGAATTAAATAAGCGCAATTTTCTTAACACTGCTCACTAATTGCGAAACATTCTGTCAACTGACATGAAGAATTTGCAAGTATGTTAAAACTTTTCTGTACATAAGCCTCATAATTTACTTAGGCTGTAAGCAGATGATGAGCAGCTAACGAAATAAATGATGGTACCATATTATTCTGCACAAACCACCATTGTTCTTGTTTTATTCAAATCATCCAGGGGAATAAATGCATGAAATTCTTAAACGCCTGACACGTCTATACCTTTTTTCAATACAAAGATAAAATTGCTTATCTTTACTTTGTCAACTGTGTTGAAAGCTTATTATCATGCATTGTTGGTAATGCCTTTTTGTAGCACAATTATTTACAAGGCGAACAGCAAAAAGCAAGAAGAACAAATTGAGTAGTATTCTAGTTATTGATCATAAAGGTGAAGGTTATTAGTATCATGTCATTAAAGTTTGTTGAATATCATACACCTAATACTCTAAATGTTTGGAAACTATTAAATGTAAACTTGGCCTGAACATATCTACATACATAACGATATAATGGAAAGGCATAATAGTTGTTGCTGTGATGCTTGTAAGTATGCACAGAAATGAACAATGAATATTCTAGAGCAACTATATGAAATGGATACCTCACTCAAGGTACAACGGTGGGATATTTTTGTAGTAGTAAATATGTCCCAGTTTCTCATATGGTGTTGTCATTTGGTACATCAAATCAGTTTCCATGCATAAATTCATCAGTTTGAAAGGATAACAGTCTAATCACAATCTAGTGTAGGTTATTTGTCTATTATATCTATCCTGTACATTTACCAGTACCTTAGTTGAATAGATGTCAATATCAGTCCCATTAAGAGAATATATAAAGGCAGAAGAGTGGTGTGTTAAAGCAATACCCCCAGATTCACCAGTTTGAATGGGTGACATCACGATATGAGTAAGCACTAAACATTCCTGATGCAATAAACCACGTATATACTAGCACGAAACAATGAAGGCGCAATTTCATGTGTTTAACTCAGAAACCTACTTCCTAGATCTGACTACCTACCAAACAACATACCCTGATGTAGAATGGCGGAACTTGTTCATTAAAACCGTTGAGCTTAAGGGCATGTTTTAGCATCAATACTGCTAAGGACATTTCTGAATATTAAACTGTAGCAGCCACTAAATAACAAGCAATCCGAATAAATGACCGTAAAAGGCGTTGAGTTTGTTGATAAATTGTATGTGCAAGTGTTTAGATTGCTTCTTTGGGCAATTCTGTGTTACCCTGACTCCTGAACCATACCCTAATCTTAGACCTAATCCCATATCTGTAATCAAATCCTTAACCCTAACTCCTAACTTTAATATAATCCTTAACTTGCTCTGCATTCAGGACTAGTGACATGCTTGCTTGCTTAAGGTTATTTTTTGGCTGCTACTGTTTATCTTCAGCACAAGTTGTGCATGTCGCAACTTTCTTGGAATGTGCTTGGATATGTGGTCGAAAATGCTTTCTGTTAAAGTTTATCTCAAGGAATTATTATTATTATACACTTATGTCCCAAGTGGAGCATAGGGCTTCAAAAGCGCATGTCTGTTTTATCCTGTTCCCTACAGTCCTCCTTAGCTGGTTCCACGTTTGCCTATGGTCTCTCATCTCTTCAATGTCACCTACGTCCAACTCATCGTTTTTCATTAGGGATTGCCAAGCAGCTCTCGATGTCACTCGGCGGTACCCTCAGGGTGTGTTCAGTGCATCTCCGTTTCTTTCAGCATATTTGTTGGACGATAGATTGTTGGTTGGTTCGTTGCCTGCTAGAGTTCCTCATTGCTTTTCCTTTCTGGCTATATGGTCTTCATTATGGAGCTAAGGCAGTCGTTAATGAAAGTCTGCAAGAGGGTGTTAGAAATGCTTTCGGCGATACGTCAGTCTCTGAGGCATATAGAGGAACTTATTTGACATTAGTGTTCAAAATCTGAATCTTATTCTTTATGCAGAGTACAGTAGATTTCTCAAGTGATTTAAGAATATGGAAAGTCTGTTTTGGTTTTCCTATCCTGGCCTTGACATATTCATTCGTACAGTCGCCTTCAGTGGAAAAATAACTGCATAATTATTGGATGAAATCGTCATAATATTTTTGAGTGTGTGTTTCTAGACTTTGTTCTGGATTGATTTCAAGGAAGATTTCATCACGAACTGGTATTAGTCAGATAACCATTGAGAACCAGGGAGCACTGAACAGCTCCTTACTTATTATTTTTCTGTGAGTAAAACTTGGGCAGGGTGAAGCTCTTCATTAGTTAAGGAAAACTATTCGCCTGTCGGTTGGTGACCGACTACAGGATGAACTACTTGCAATTCTTAAGACGAGTCATAGCTACCACTTGCATCTACAAAGTACTAAGTGAAGTGTGGAGGGAGATACTAGCTGATGATATTGGATGGTGGTAGCAGCAACTGGATATTGACACAGATTAGAATTCATTGGTCATGGAATACTAATGCTGCGCTTGCTTTGCCTTGTAACCCCGGAGGTCTTGGCTTCGATCCGCGGTAAGGTCATGGTTGTGTATTCCTAAAGAGTCCCAGACTAAAACCAAACAGCCGTCCAGTGCTCTTTGGTTTTCAATAGTTCTGTGGCTGCTGAATTATTAGCTGTGTAATAGAAACACGTATAAAGTATTTAGCTTCATTTTAATTGTCTTCAACCCCACAGAAAGGTACGTGTGTGATTGATGTTTTTATTGCTTATCTTTGAAAGTGGTTGTTCAGCTGAGAATAACTGCTTTGTAAAAGTTGTGTATATATACACATATCTTGTAAATTATTAATCCAAGATTAATCACATCATAGTGCAGCGGCTATCATATTCTTGAATTATTTTTGTGCGGTTACCATGTTGCCGTGTGTTCTCAAATATTTAAAATTTTCATTTTTTTAAGGGTAGGTGGTTTATAACCCTTGCTTAGTTCACTTTTTACACGCATATACAACTTTCTGAATAGTTGATTGGGTCTACTTTCTCAGCTTGAATATCTTAATTGAAAATAACTGTATGACAGAAGTTTTGAAATCCGTTTAAAGCTCCACAGGATTTACGGCTTTCATTTGCCAAGTTTGTTCTTAACTTTTAACCGTTTGAATGTGGTTTGAATTACTTTTGGCCAATTGTGTGAATTAACAGTGTTTTTTAATTTCGCTAACACGATATTAGTTTTTAATATCAATAGTGGATTTTAACCTCTTTTTACTAAGATGTAACCTCTTATTTCATCCAAATGCGGGAATACCCCTGCATATTGAACAGCCGGTTTCTTTTTGTGTAGGTGGTGTGTTATTTTGAAAGCGTTTTTGAAACAAATCACTGTCGCTTGTTTTATCAAAACTATTTTCATAGTGCCAATTGTTGGGTGGAATTTTATGCCATTATTTATGCACTGTTTTCCCCTGATCTGTAGAGTGTAGATCCTAATTTTTCTTACTGGGGGCCGCCACAACCATCACAAGGTTCCACTGGATACGAGATGGGTTCACAAGAAATGATGAATAACTCAGATATGAGGGATATGCAACATCGAATGCCTAGTTATCCCCCACCACATATGCCAGGTTATACAGGCAATGCTGGTGCAGGTGGAGTTGCTGGTCGACCGGGTTATCCGCCTCATCAAATGGGATGGGCACCTCCTGGTCAGCGTGATTCTTCTAAATGGAACCAATCTATGCCTAATTATAACACTCAGTCTGGACACAGGAATCATGAATTGAGCAGCAATGTCTACATAGAAGGTGAAGAACCAGAAGATGAACAACAATCTCAATACTCCGTTTCATCGTATGATTGTGGTAAGTTAAGCACTATCAAATTATGCTTGTAAACCCTGGGGGGAATATAGTACTATTTGATTTGCCACTGATAATTGTTTTCAAAGCCTCAGTCAATCACTAAGTTAGTACTCTTTGTATTCGTACCTAGAATGTATGTATAGGTATACTTCAACCTTTAGCTTCTTAGGCTGCTTTCTGTGATCTTGTGTTATTCCATTCACATTACTTCTAGTTAGCTAGTTTTTTTTCACCATTTTGTGTATTATATTATTATTAGTATTCCCCTAGGTTCCAGGGGGGAACATAGGGCTTCAGAGTCACATTTCCATTTCTTCCTGGCCTCTACAATTGTCTTTGGCTGGCTCATCATTTGCCTATATTCTCTCATATCATCCTCAAGTGATCTCCTTCATTTCACCCTCAGATTTCACTCAAGGGTCTAGTTTTGTGATGTCATTCACTGGTCTCCTTAGCGTGTTTTCGATCCATCTCCATTTTCTTCTACATATTTTTGGGGTAATAGGTTCTTAGTTAGTTCGTTCCCAGAGTTTCTTGTCGCTAATTCCTTCCTGCTGGCCATGTGATCTTCAGTATGAAGATTAAGGCATCTCTGTCTATTATCAGTTGATCCTATCTGAATTAAGTGTTAAGTATTGAATTGAATTTTTGATTTTCCCGTCGATTGATTGGACCGAAGTGTTCGGTCTCAGGTTGACATGTCGGCTTCTTGTGCAGATGCTTCGACGATGTTGGGGATTTGATTTGTATACAGTTGGTGGATGGTGGCTAGCAGTGGAATCCAGGATGCGCATTTCGTCCTAATTGGGACTCGTCATCTGGATGTACCTGCATTTCTCAGTGAGTGATGATGTTCCCACCGAGGCTCGAATCCAGTGCCCATAGTTTCAAACGCCAAAGCGTTATCCACTAGACCACTTGGGCCACGAGAGCCACCTCTTGTGCAACGGGTCATATATTAATTATTGAATTGAATTGTTGATTTTCCCGTCGATTGATTGGACCGAAGTGTTCGGTCTCAGGTTGACATGTCGGCTTCTTGTGCAGATGCTTCGACGATGTCTGGGGATTTGATTTGTATACAATTGGTGGATGGTGGCTAGCAGTGGAATCCAGGATGCGCATTTCGTCCTAATTGGGACTTGTCAGCTGTATGTACATCGTCGAAGCATCTGCACAAGAAGCCGACATGTCAACCTGAGACCGAACACTTCGGTCCAATCAATCGACGGGAAAATCAACAATTCAATTCAATAATTAATATATGACCCGTTGCACAAGAGGTGGCTCTCGTGGCCCAAGTGGTCTAGTGGATAACGCTTTGGCGTTTGAAACTATGGGCACTGGATTCGAGCCTCGGTGGGAACATCATCACTCACTGAGAAATGCAGGTACATCCAGATGACGAGTCCCAAATAGGACGAAATGCGCATCCTGGATTCCACTGCTAGCCACCATCCACCAATTGTATATAAGTGTTAAGTACATTATTGATATCAAGCGATGTGTTTCAAGGGTTTTTATTATTTCACCAAAATATTTGGCATCATTACATGAAATCTCTGACGGTTTGCCTGAGCCATGTAAAGAGTTGTAGGCTGCCTGGTTGGTATCCTCTGAATGCTAAGAACCAGTGACTTGAAACTTTTGAGGATATGGCTTGAAATCTTTCTCTTGATTATCTCCCATACCCATTAAGCCCTGATATTTTTCTGCATTACTGTTCTTTCTCCCTCAAGTTTTTACTTTTTATTATAGTCATTTCGAATCCCTTTATTCCCTCTTTTGTCTACCCCCTGTGCGCTAAATAGAGTTTGGCAAATTGAAATGCTGCACTTCTGTGCATAGTTCTCTGTTGAAATGGAGTCAGTCAGTTACTGTTTCGTCGAAGTCTTTGAATTAGTGATATGACTTCCTCCGCAAGACACTGATTCCTTTTATATATATATATATATATATATATATATATATATATATATATACATGAAGTATATTATTTATTCCTCACGTTTTAGAAACACGTAAGCGTTTTACCACTATCACAGCATACTATGTATTATTAGACTGTTATCCTGTTGCGTTTTATAACATTATTTGGACCCTGTTGTCATCAGTGTGTATGTCATAATTCTAAACCATGGTGTACAGTAAATTTCATTTTTGACTATTTTCAGAAAAAGATAGTAAGAAAACTGAATTTTGGTCAATTATTTTCATGGATTTTAAGTAGTTGAAGGCGGTTGACAGGAGGAGCGTTTGACATAGGTTTCGTGATTGTTGGCACTCGTCAACAAGGTCTATATACAGTCTTGAAGGAATTGACGTCATTTTTGAAGTTTGAGCCCGGGTCACCCAGTGCTACAGTCAGAGACGTTGCCACCAAGCTATGCGGGCTTGCAGTTGACTTCCCATAAGACTGTAATTGATACCTTGATGGCACATCAGTTAGTAATGACGCATCTCCTTGTTGCCTATATTGTACCAGGTTCTGTGGCCTAAATAAATAAATAAATAAAAATGGCAGTAGACTGATTGAGAACGATGGTAATACAATCCAAGTTGATAAGTATTTAAATACTCCTCTGACGTCAAAGGAAAGGTGGTCATTGTGTTTGAAAATAATGCATAAATCTGCAACCTCATTGACTTAATTATTTTTCTGACCAAAAGCAGCAGCAGTAATGCTATTATGTCAAGTCTTCATTCTTCTGGATAGTATAAGTCGTAGAAGACTATGAAGTGAACTAGAACATCACAAATTGGCAGGAATTATAATTCATGGACTGTTGGGTTGGGTGCCGGTGGCTGAGTTGTCTACAAGCTCTCCTGGTAATCGGAGGGACCTGGGTTCGAACCCCATTGAGCGCGTACTGAAGAGTCTCAAACTAGGGAGAAACAGCTGTACAACACTCCCTGGTTGTCCAGTGGTCTGCTTACTGATGTCAGCTAGTGGATCAACCCTCCTGTAACTAATCAAATCCATGCAAACCAACACTTGGTAATTATTATCATAATTGTAGTGTTAAATTATAATTAAAGGTGTTACTCACAAATTTGGATTTTAGCGCATCACTTTGATTCTCGTCTTGCTGCCACATACTGACATTATTACGTAAAAATATGGGTATCTAATTTCTGTAATTATTACTGTTGTATTTAGCCTTGTTTCTAACATTCTTCATCATAGGTGAATCAGGTAATTGTGAGTTTAACCTCTCCTATGTCGGGATAACTTAATCTATTCTGATCTTAAGCTGGAACTGCAGTACACGACTGTTGTGATATTTTTCCGTTATATTCACGTAGTACTGAAAATATCGTGCAGTTAAAATACATTTGTTTATCCTAAACAAAATATTAAGCTCCATCATGCTGGAAGACTTCACCGGGAGAAAGTTAGATTCAGGGGAAAACAAGTCATAAATGGAGCAAATTGCATGTATATATTATATATATGTATACTCTAAGTTACCTATACTTTATCCACGTAAGAAGTCAATTCTTGAAATGTTCAGGTCGGGCAGGTTCATATCAATCAGTACGTATTTAATGAAATTAAGTAAGAATGTTTATAACGGGCATTTCTGATGGAAACCACTGGTTTTCTTTATTTACGATGACAATCATTTAATGCGTAATGTTAGCTATCGTAATGATCGCTTGAAAACTCAAGATGTTATATTTAGATGCATAATGTATATTCACACTCCTACAATGTTGATAGATTTTAGTAATTATTCATTTGTTTCCTTTGAAAGTTGGTGTAGACAAGGGAAAAAAATTCGATGAGAAAAAAACAAGTGAGTAATAGGGAGTAAAGCAACAACTTTCTTATCAGTTAACTGTTTATTAGAAATCTTTGACTCTTCATGTTAATATATGTGTAAAACTTGGGCACTGTGGTAGTAAGTAATTCCATGTTAGTTTGTTTATTAGACAATATATCACACAGTGAAACAGTATTATTTACTGAATGACGTTTCGAACACAATTTATTGTTCATAATCATATCAATTTTGATCACACGACTTTGAAACTTGAGTTTCATAGTTTTCTTTGTCTTCTCCTACTTGTCGTCGTTGGGGTAGTAGAATTTTCCAGATATCTAGGTGGACATGTGATGAATCATTCCTAATACATGTATTTGCAGTTGATTCGATAAACAAAGCTTCTGTTATCAGTCTCTTCCTATACGCTGTGACATTAGATTTTAAAAGTGTCATCCTATCCCATCTTATTGTATGGTTGTGTGTGACTGCATGTAGTGCTATAGCTGAACTATTCTCTAGATTTCTTATCTTATTTGGGTCAACCAATCTAGATTTTGCTAGGCTTTTATGTTCGGCTAGTCTGACTGCCCCTGTTCTACTAGTTTGACCTATGTATTTGACCTCACAATCATTGCAGGCAGGGTATTAGATAAACTAAATTGTTTTGTTTTAAAGGCTCCACAGGATCCTTTAACCGACAAAGCTTGTTTCTAATTGAGTTTGTGGTTGGTTTGAATGCCAGCCGCTTTTCTTCCTGCCTTGCTAAGAATTCTGCCTTCAAAGCCTCAGGATGGTCGGGGGTGGGTGCCTTGCGCTGCGGGTTGGCCACCCCTCCGTACACCTCTTTAAATGCCGGGCGTCTCACATAGCCTCTCCTGAGGACGTCCTACTCACTGCCTTCACGTGGCGGAGGTGTTTTTCACCGAAGTGAGAGGGCAAAAGCGGATGCCCGGCGCTCTTCACCGGGTTGACTGTCCATTGGATGACAGTCTCGGGGAGATGGCTAAACCCTGATTCCAAACCTCCAACGACTGACGTATGAAGCTCACCGGAGCTCACCGGCAGACGTATGGACAAAGGGCTTATTGGATGCCCTGGATGTCTGGCCCCATTCAAAATGGCGTATGAACCGGACTCTGGTCACCGGCTGCCAATGGATAGTGGACTCCCTACTCCACTCCTACTGCCTTGTAGGTCACACTTGGTTGTGTAAAGGCTAGAGCTGCACTCCCAAACAAAAGGCCGAGCTATGCTGGGGACATCGCTCGCACCCAATTCCCATGAAACTTCATGAGTTCATGAAGCCGACTCATCCTCCCGTAGGAGATAGCCGAAGTAAAGTAAGTAAGTAAGAATTCTGTGTAAGGCTTCCGAGGTTCCTTCCTTGTATGGAATTACTACTGATGATTGAGATTCCTTATTGTTGGTGTTGTCATTAATATTATTATTATCACTATTATTATTACCATTATTATTATTATTATTATTATTATTATCATTATTGTTATCATTGTTATTATCACTATCGCTATTATCATTATTTATTTTATTTTTACATTTACTTACATATTTCTTGACTAATTTATCCGGGTAATTATTAAGTTTCAAGGCGTCTTTTATGTGTATCACTTCCTGTCTTAGATTTTCCTTGGTACTACTTAGTTTTTGTGCTCTGTCATTTAAACATTTCACTAATCCTACTTTTACTGACATAGGATGGGATGATGGGAAATCCAAATATCTGTTTGAGTTTGTGTGTTTTCTGTAAAGGGGCAGTCAGACTAGCCGAACATAAAAACCTAGCTAAATCTAGATTGGTTGACCCAAATAAAATAAGAAATCTAGAGAATAGTTCAGCTATAGCACTACATGCAGTCACACACAACCATACAATAAGATGGGATAGGATGACAGTTTTAAAATCTAATGTCACAGGCTATAGGAAGAGATTGATAACAGAAGCTTTGTTTATCGAATCAACTGCAAACACGTGTATTAGGAATGATTCATCGCCTGTCCCAGATATATCCTTGACTCTTCAGTTTAAAATAATTATTTTTTTTAAAATTATTCCTCCCTTGGGTTCCGATTGGGACATAGGGCTTCGACAACTTATCTCCACTTTCTTCTATTTTCTGCACTCCTCTTCAGCTGGATCCACGACTGCCCATAATCTCTCATCTCCTCTTCGCACGATCACCTCCACGTCACCCTTACATCAACGACTCACTCGTTGTTTCCCATTGGGATTCCACTGGAGCAATGGCCTGTATTGCTCGTGATGTCATTCGATGGCCTCCTCAGCGTATGCGCGGTTCATCTGCATTTTATCCTACAGATTTGTTGAGCCATCAGCTCTTGGCTGGTTTGTTGCCAGAGTTTCTTGTTACTAATTCCTTCTGGCCTGCCATCTGATCTTCAGTATGTAGCCAATGAAGACATTTGTTGATAAAAGTCTGGGGCCTGTTCGAAATGCTTTCCGTGACTCTCATGCCAACTTTCTGACCTGTATAGAAGAACTGACTGACTGTATATTTGTGTTAAAAATCTGATTCTTGTTGTTCATATAATTCATTCCATGTAATTCACTGTATTCATATATTTAGAATACATTCATTGACCGGTTATTCAACAGTAGCTTATTATGTGTATGTCAGGTTTTCATTATAACAACTGGGACGATCTGCTTTACACTGAGTCATACTGTGGCTGATCTATGATCTTCAAAAGTGTTTATCCACAAGTCATTTTGTCCTTCTTATTACCTCTTGATACTCATAGTTAAGCATGTTTCAACTTTTGAAAAGACTTATGGTATACGGGAAATATAGATCTAGTTGTTTAAGCGAACATCTAACCTATTTTGAGCTTTGATGAAACATATTCTGCTCGATCGGTGAAAAGCAGTTAGTGTGTAATGTAAGGACACGGGTGGTATCTGGCAGTGGAGTTGTCTCTACTACGGGCGAAACGGATGAGGAAGTCAAATCTAGAATCGGTAAGACAAGACAGACCTTCATCACGCTGAAGTCTGCGTGGAAATCTACTGCAGTCAACACCTAGAACTAATTTCGGACTTTAAACACTAGTGTTAAATTAGTTCTACATTGGTCAGAAACTTGGCCTGAGCATCACGAAAAGCGTTTCTCACACCCTGTTGCAGACTTTTATTCGCAGTTGCCTTTTGCTCTCTGCTGAAAAGATTAGCAACAAAAATCTCTGGGAACGAACCAACCAAGAACCTATCACTCAACAAATATGCAGAAGAAAAATGGAAATTGATCGGACACATATGGATGAGACCGTTGCGTAGTGACATTACGGGCCAGGCAGTGCGTCGAGTGGAATCTGTGTGGGAAGCGATGATTTGGGTGTGGCTTTGAGGTTGATATGGAGAAGATCTCACATGATGTGGAGATGAGAGACTATAAGCAGATGTGCAGTCAACTAAATACAACAACAGTAAAGAACAGGATGAAATAGATATGTGCTTTTGAAGCCCAATGTTCCACTTAGAACCCAAAAGAATAATACTAATAAATCATTTATTTCTCCTCACTGTAACTTAATTCCTCACTCCATTAATCAAGATTTTTGGAAAAAATGTGACCAATTTATTACTTATAAACTCTTGTCGGTAGCACACATCATACATAAATGTAATACTTATCTGTTCTCTGAGTTGCTAATCCTGGAAAGTTCTCATTTACGACTGTTGTTATAACGGTTTAAGTTAGAAAGTACATAATATCTTCTACTTGAAACAGAAAGAGTGTTGCGTGACCGCAGAGCCCAGGGGAAAACTGCTTGAGGCCAGTCACACACGGCCTGTATCAATTGGTTTCTGGGATGGGTTCCCTATTAGTAAACTTACCGCCGGTTACGAACCACCGGAGGGTAAGTCGGGATGTACAATTTTTGGGGTCGACCTTTTCTAAACCCCTCCCTACGGAGTGGAGAGACAGCATAGCTGGCTGGCATGCTGGTCATTTGAGGGAAACACCTCACTGCTGTTGCAAACCTATCCCCCTAGAAGTACGACTTCTCCCTCACACCCCCAGAATAGTGTAAGAAATGGCGGTAACTGCTTTTAGTCTAATCGCTATCCTAACAACCTTCCTGGCATAGTAGGACCTTCAGGAACATTTGTTTCAGCCAGTGTAGCTTGTTGGGTCATCGCGATGTGCAGGCCCGACCGCCACGTCAAGGTAGCAGCTATCGGTCGGGCTGCCGCCAAGCTATCTACGCCACCGACACTCTTTGAACATTTGTGACTTGTAATTTCATTCGTTGTTACTATTCCTTTGTCTCACACCTCTGCTTACTGTCTCTATTATGCATTTCTTGTACTTTCTTCTGTTGCTTTGTGTGCTACATGGAGTGTGGCGACTTGAACTGCCGCATATTTGTGCAAAGTTCTCTGTAGAAAACAGACAGACAGACAGAATTTTTTCTTCTGCTCAGTTGTTAGACAGTAAAAGCGATATATATCTACTCTTGCTCTTATAGCATACAGAGTTTTGCTTTTATTCCAAAAATTCCATTTTTAAACATTCCATCTAAAGTTATAATTAACAACTTTTGCACGACAGGTTTGTACTAATACCTGCCCGTTTTGCTATTGTCGACTGCACTATTCATTTATCGTGTTCTTGAATATGCTTTTCTAAAAAGTTTTGTTTTCAAATCGTAAATTTTCGTTGGTGAACAGGGTAAATTTAAAATTGATGTTCATCGAAATAAATTTGTTCATACTTCACCCATTGTTGTATATTGAAGTAATAGCAGTATATATATATATGTTTCTACAGTAATATTAGTTTAGCTGCATCTCCTTTTCAATAATTTTTCAGCTTCATATGGTGGTTATTACAATAATAACAATGATCCTGTTAATAATGATTATCGACAATATGAAGAATCTAATCGTAGTGGTCGAGATGTCAGGGATAGTCAAAGCCAGCGTGATGGAAAGAGTCGAACATCTCGAGGTAATCGTCCGTCAAGATTTTCGTCTGCTCCATCTCAATCTGAAACGTGTACAGAGAAAAAGGCGGATACAAGTGAAAGTGTTAAAAGTGCGACCAGTACTGAGGAGAATAAAACGCCGATAACTGATGCAGAAGATTCAAAAGATGCAGAAACTTCTACTCAGGTGGCTGAAGCTTATGATATCAATGAAAAGTATCCAGCATGGCAATTACCTGCTGGATTAATGCATTCATTAATTAAACTGAAAGATTTCGATTTTACGCCTATATGTGAGAGTGATCTTCAATTGTTGCCTGCTAATGCGCCATCTGAACGCTTACTTATAGCACTGGAAAATTTCTACATGCCACCTACACCCGATAGACCACGTGATGGCGAAGGATGGGAACACATGGCTTTGAATGAATTTTACGCGAAAAAGAGCGTGCTCGTCCTGTTGAACAAAAAGAAAAAGAAGAGGTATTTTATTTTTCAATCTGATTGATTGCAATTCAATGCATTCTATTAAGTTATTGAAACGGGAAGAAACTTGTTTAAATTACAAAGATAGTTTAGGATATTCATGTTTGGATTTCTATGTAATCAGAGCATGTACTAAAGTAGCAACACAGTTTGTCCCGACCGATAGCTGCTACCCTGGTGAGGTGGTCGGGCTGCACGTCGCGATGACCCAACAAACTACACTGGCTGAAACAAATGTTCCTGAAGGTCCTACTATGCCAGGAAGGTTGTTAGGATAGCGATTAGACTAAAAGCAGTTACCGCCATTTCTTACACTATTCTGGGGGTGTGAGGGAGTGGTCGTACTTCTAGGGGGTAGGTTTGCAACAGCAGTGAGGTGTTTCCCTCAAATGACCAGCATGCCAGCCATCTATGATGGGAGGAATCTGAAAGAAACAACCTCATTTACCTACCTGGGAAGCATAATTTCAACTACAGACAGAATAGACGAGGGGTCTCAACGCAAGAACCGGGAATGCAAGGCAAGCTTTCATTACTCTCAAGTCTGTGTGGAGGTCAACAACACTCAGCATGAAAAATAAGATCCGGATTTTCAACTCCAATGTGAAGTCAGTGCTACTCACTATACGGATCAGAGACTTGGCCAGCGTGTCATAAAAAGCACCTCAAACAAACTACAGACTCTCATTAAAAGTTGTCTTCGCTCAATACTACTCAAGATTAGATGGCCGACCAGAAAAGATCAGCAACAGGGATCTCTGTCAATGAGTAAACCAACCTAGCAGGAACCGATTGTGGAACAAATCTGCAGGAAGAAATGGAGATGGATTGGAGGCCATACTCTGAGGAAACCATCAAGTGACGTCACTAGAAAGGCCATTGCTCGAGTGGAACCTGACCGAATGGGAAGCGGCGATTTGGTCGTCAGTGCAAGGGTGACTTGGAGGAGGTCATGTGAAGAGGAGATGAAAGTATGTGGGCAGACTTGGAGCCGGATGAAAACTCTAGCAGAGAACCGAACGCAATGGAGACGCGCGGCTGAAGCCTATTTTCCTCTAGGAATTAAAGGAAATAATAATAATAATGCTATTTAATTTCATGCAGATTTAATTCCGTTTCACTTCACTGAGGGAGACAGTTTATTCTGTAGATAAAAATGAGTACTCTTTTATAATAATGAGCAGTCGATTAAAAGACATTATTTGTAACTTGTCTTGCTTGTTGGCAGAGTAAAAAATAATGTAAAATACACTTCATAAGGAAAGTCAATGAAGTGGTTATATATTCTGTTATTGTTTCGATTGTGGACATTACGTTTTACGTTATAGGAAAGTGTTTTGTATTCCATAAGTCCTGAGTTCGGAAACAGTTGTGTGTACTTAGGCATGAACAATAGAATAATGTATGGTACTTTATGTTAAACGCTATTAATTTCCCATACAACATCCTACACGTTACCACTTCATGCTATTTAGTTTCGTGTTGCTTTTAGTGGAAGCAGTGAATATTTAACGTTTTCTATGTGAAGTTCCATGTGAGTGAACTAATTCCTCAATAAAACAGTGTCTCATGCATTGTACTATTATTTTCACAATAATCCAAATTGGTGTTGCATTTATCTATTTTTGTAGAAAGACAACGTCTCTACTGGTAAAGGCAAATCAAATCGACGACGTCAGAATAGTGGTAGTAGTTATGCCAGCAGTCATTCTGACTTCGATTTCACTAGTGGATTGGCTTCAGATCAACGTGACTGTACAGTTGATATCGATAAACCGTTTAGCCGTGACTCCACAAATGGTGAAGTTTCTTTGGGACCGCCACAACTTGCATATATAACAGCTTATCCCAAAGCTGCAGTTGGTCAGCCTCTCCGTACTGGTAATGAAGCACTTACATTGGCTCCTCCTCCCATGCAGTGTATGCAAGGACAACTTACTCATAACTACAGTGCTTACAAAGCGACTGGTGTACATCCAGGGATTCCTATTCCAGTTCCTCCAATGACAGGCCTGCTCGGTGCAATCCCACCTGCCCCAAGTGCATTCCCGAATACAAGTTTCCTCCAGTTCCCTCCTCCTGTTAATCAACCACCTCCAGCAATCCCTATACCTCAAGGTCTGATACAGAGACCTCCTCCGGGATTTTCTGCTGATCGTTTTGAATCTCGAAGATCACGTTCTCGTTCTAGGTACGCTAACATTGAAATTACATTTCTAATATCCAAATCAAATAATATATGACATTCAAGACAATATTTCAAATGAAGATCCTAACTATTTTTATATATGAATGTTTTCTATAGGTCTGACTCACGTTCAAAGTCTGCGTCACGTTCGCGTTCCCGTGATTTTCACTCCCGTTCAGGATCTCGATCCGATTCTCGTAGTTCTCGAAGCAGATCAAGATCACGTTCAGATTCTCGTGATTCTCGTTCAAAATCCGGATCACCACGACGTGATGATGAAAGTAGTAGTAACCAGTCTCGCGGTTTCTCTAGAAGTCGAAGACGCAACAGGTTAGTGGCATTCGTTTATAATCAACCTCAGATTTAAATATTTTAATCATCTATCGTCTAGTTAGTTATTGTCGTTGTCAGCAGTCGTTTTACATTTTGCAAATTTATTTTTTTGATTTTGTTGTTTGATTGTAAAAACACGTAATCAAAACTCTTAATAGGTTTATTTTGTAGCCATATTGTATACACTTGGTCATTTTGAACGAGTCGCGCTGGGTTCAGGGTGATCAAGAATGCTCTGACCCTGGGTGGAGGCTTACCATTGCACGTCGGTGTGTTGAAAATTGTGACGGACCCTAATCGGGTGCGCTCGGACGTGTAGTTTTTGTCAGTGGGGAGGCCTCACGGTCCTCCCTTTATTGTGCGTTGGTGGCACAGTGGTTAGGACTCTCGCCGGCCATGCACATGGTCCGAGGTTCGATCCCCTGCCGACGTACACCTTTATCTATCAGCCTGCAAAATTTGGGCAACCGATATCATATGCTGAAAATTCCATATTTGTACCAAAAATACTGTTTGGAATCAAGCTGTAGTCAAAAATAAATAAAAAACAAAAAAATAAAAAAAATTTTGGTATTGTTTTGCGTTCTTTAATCTGTACGGTTTCATTAATCACAGGACTTACTGTCTTCCTAGACAACATTCTCAGGGTTTCCTTCAGAATGAAGCCATTGTTAATCCAGCCGACAGTAATATTTGAATTCCATCATTTCAAAATTTACAATATGTCTACTTTACTAGTTTCTGTTTTTTGAATATGTAAAATCTACATTGCATGATTACGCATATAACAGATTCCTATATTTGGCTCCAATTCATACTATAAAAATATTGTAGGGGAGTTATAAGATCGATATATACAGTCAATCTGTGTGTAAAACGGTTACTTTTCAAACATTATATCGTACTCTGTGCATCTTACTGGGTTTAGAAAAATCGTCCACAATGAAATGGAGTTTATGTCTGAGGATATGATAAAAGTGAACATAGACAAGACGGAGGTTATGAAAATAACCAACCAACCAACGACAACAACAGCAGCAACATTCAGCGTCAATCACCATCAACGGGAGGGATTTGAAAGAGGTTACTTCATTCACTTATCTAGGGAGCATTGTCTCAACTAAAGGCGGTCGGAACGGACGAGGATGTCAAATCGAGCGAGAATCGGGAAGGCGAAAAACATATTCATCAATCTGAAACCAATCTGGAAATCTTCGTCACTCAGCCAGCATCAACAACAAAATTCGGTCGGATTTTCAATACAAACGTCAAGTCAGTCAGTTCTTCTATACGGAACGGATGAGAAACTTGGCGGGCGGGTCACAAAGAATATTTCCAACCAACAGCCTGTTGCAGACCTTTATCAACCAACAACTGTCTTCGCTGGCTCTGTACTGAAGATCAGATGACCGGGCCGGAAAGAATCACCAACAAGAAACTATGGCTGGGAACAAACAAAACAAGAATCAATCGCCAACCAACAAATATGCAGGAGAAAGTGGAGGTGGATTGGACACTCGCTCGCTGAGGAGGCCGCTGGATGACATCGCGCGCGCGTCAGGCGATTGCTCGAGTGGAACCAGGTCGAAAGGGAAGCGGTGAGTGGGACGTCAGTGCAAGGGTGACATGGAGGAGATAGTTTGAAGAGGAGTTGAAAGAGTATGGACTAACATGGATGGAGGTGAAAAGTACAGCAGAAGGAAGACAGAAGTGGCAAGTGCAGACGTGCAGTTGAAGCCCTATGTTCCACTAGAAACCCAAGGGAACAATAAAAATAATAGTTTTTTTGTTGTTTGCAGTTATTCACATATTCACGCATGTGACGTTCACACGTACATACACACACGCACACCTGTTGTGTGTGAGCACTGATGTCTATGCGGTTGTTCTCATTTCTCAGACTGAGTTGTATTCCAACACTCTTGATCTACTATTTAGAAGTTAAGTACCGTAATAAAAATAGATATATATTACTTTTGTTGCCTTAGGTTCGAGAGGGAACGTAGGCCTTCAGCAGCACATCTCCATTTCATACTGTTTTCTACAGTCGTCTTTGCCGGATTACGTGATTGCCCGTAAATTCCCATCCCTGCTTGTTATGCCCAATTTATCGTTTTCCATTCGGGTTCCATTCAGGCGAATGCCTGTTACGCGATGTCACTTACCAATCGAATTCGATTGGAATATTGACTTAGCACAATTTGATGTTATAGTGTAAAATATTTTCATATTTAGGTATTAAACCTGTAGTGTAAAATACAAAAGAGAGTAGCTTATAATTTGCAAATATTTAATGTTAAAACAATGGAAATTATTTAGCGAAGTAAGATGTTCCAGATTGTGTGCGAAGTCTTATTAAAGTTTATGCAATCATAAGTATGTTTAAGAGTTTGTGTTATGGCAAAATAACGAAGATTGTTTGTTTAGAGGATTTCATCATGAGCTGATATCAGTTAGAGAACCATTGGAAAACGAACCTGGAGTACTGGATAGCTATTTCGTCCTAGTTTGGGACTCTGCAGTAGTACGCACCCACTGGGTTCGAACTCAGGACCTTCCTGTTACGAGACGAGCTCTTAGTCCATTAAGCCACTGGGACCGGACCGATTCAATGGCCAGTCCATGAGTTGTAACTTCTGCCAATTCATGACAGCGTGACCACTTCGCAATGTCTTCTTCGTTGAGTTACTGCCTCATCTTAAAGGATGATAAGAAAAAAGATTTAAATCCCATTGAATTGTACATTACTGATCAGATTGTAGGAAGTTGACTTATTAAAAAGACCCAACATTTTTTGTTACCCGTCTTGTGGCTACAATTAATAACCACTGAATGTGAAGAACTAGTATTTCATGAATATTCATATATATCACCAATCATTATTTTAAACTTTTTTTTTCTACAGATCTCGTTCACGTAGTTCAAGTTCACCAATTGCTCGATTCACTTCAGCCCCTGGACCTGGTGGTATTACACCAGGTAGCAGTAGCAATGCTAGCGGGAGTAGTAATATGAATGCTGCTCGAGCTGCTGCAATAGCAGCTGCTGTTTCTATAGCTAACTCAATCAATGCACAATCTGGTTGGTCTAATAATAATAATAACAGCAACAACAACAATAACAATAACACCATCAACACCTCCACCAACAACAACAATAGTAACAATAATGTACCGATTAGTACATTTAACAATCAGGGTTTTAATGGACCAGCTCTTCTGCCTGGAGGTCCGTTCGCTGATTCCAACAGAATGTCATTCTATCCTGGTGTATATCAACCTGTATGTTGACAAATATAACTTTATAAATGTCTGTATTTTGACAGTTTCAATAATAGTACAGTATAGTACAGTACAATTCCAGGGGGTTTTACACTCTCTTATTTTATGTTAATGTTTCTCACTGTTGTTAGCCTGTGTGTATAACATTTTCCAAATTAATGTAAGAATGTGTATAACCCTTAAACTATCTTAATCCTTGTTTGATTTCACTGAGTTATATATATGTATATATATATGGTGAGAGCAGGCTGCTAGCCAATCGGTAGACATTAATCTACGTCAATGTCTAGGTCACTAATATGGCCGTGAGAAAATATGAACAAGGCTGATCAACAACCAATCACAGCAAACTTAACGCGGGCAAATATGATTTGCAGATAGATGGCCTCACTTTCCGAGAAACCCGAAAACAACCAATCAGAAGACTGCGTTTATCTTTTTGATTTGACACTAGTAACTAGTGTGATGCGTCTAGTCCTTTGATTGGTGTAGACTGAATTCTATCAGTCAGGTTGTGATGTGACCGCCATTCTAGCTAGCTCGCCATCACGGTGCACATTGACTTGATGGTATTAGATGGTTGGAGGCGAGCGGCAGGAAGCCTTGGACATAGGTTTCGTGCTAGTTGGCACTCGTCAGCAAGGCGTATCTGCAATCTTGAAGGAACTAATGTCCCTTCTGAGATTCGAACCCGCGTCACTCAGTGCTGCAGTCAGACTGATGGAATTCAGTCGACACCAATCAGAGGACTAGACGCATCACACTAGTTACTAGTGTCAAATCAAAATATCCACTGCAATCCTACAGGAGGTGAATCGCGAGCCCGAATAGCTCAGTGGTAACGTCTTTGACTGCAGCACTGGATGACGCGGGTTCGAATCTCAGAAGGGACATGAGTTCCTTCAAGGTTTCAGATACGCCTTACTAACTGGCGAATGCCAACTAGCACTAAACCTGGGTTCATGGCTTCCTGTCGATTACTTCCAACCATCTAATACTGTGTTTGTCTACTTGAATAAGCTATCATAATGAACAGGAAATATATATAAATACGTGCTGATTTCCGTAAGAAAACGATCTGTTGCTGGCCCTTGTCTTCTGTTGTTACATATATATGTATGTTGGTAGAACAGCGGTTAGGACTCTCGCCTACCATGCACATGGTCCGAGGTTCGATCCCCTGCCGACGTACACCTGTTATCTATCGGCCTGCAAAATTTGGGCAACCGATATCACATGCTGAAAATTCCATACTTGTACCAAAAATACTGTGTAGTTCCAAGCTATAATCAAAAATTCAAAAAAAATATATAGTTATACTTTTGTGAAATGGTGATACACTTTTATACACTTGTCCTTTGTTTATTTTATCCACTTCTGTTATTACAGAACCAAGGACAACAAAATCGTGGTGTAGGTGTCCTACGTGGTGGTTTCAACATTGGTGGTATTATGCTAGGTCGAGGCGGTGGTGCTATGGGTGGTGGTATGCGATATCATGGTTCTGATGATCGTTTTTATCCACCGCAACGTGATCACCAACGCCGATAAAGTTATACTCTTCTCATGGATAAAAATATATTTTAAATGCATGATTTATGACTTGTCTATGATTGTCTTTATTATAAGTGGTCATTATCTTATGTAAATGTAACTTTTAGTGCTTTAAAAGAAAAAAAAATACAATAATCTATTGTGTATTATCAATTGTTTTGTTATGTTGTTTAGTGTACTGAAATAACGCAAAAAGTATGCGCAGTTCTCTATTCTGTCAAATTGACTGTATTATGTTTGTCAGTGTGAATGATATTGTGTTGTGTCTTTTTTCCAAACAAATTGACTTAATTACTTTCGTTCGAATCCCCTCATTTCTATTTCATAGTCCTGTCTATCTGTAGTAGTATTTTCGTCTCTGGAGTTTTTATTCCTCGCCTTTCTAATGCACTTAGGTCGTTAGGTAATTTTGCCGAATCCTATACTTTCCATATGTGGTCACCTCTAGTGTAATTCTACATTAGAATGAAATAATTTAAACACTGAAGCGTATTTTTGTTATATATGTGTAAAACTTGGGCACTGTGGTAGTAAGTAATTCCATGTTAGTTTGTTTATTAGACAATATATCACACAGTGAAACAGTATTATTTACTGGATGAAACCGTTTCGAACACAATTTATTGTTCATAATCATATCAATTTTGATCACACGACTTTGAAACTTGAGTTTCATAGTTTTCTTTGTCTTCTCCTATTTGTCGTCGTTGGGGCAGTAGAATTTTCCAGATATCTGGGTGGACAGGTGATGAATCATTCCTAATACATGTATTTGCAGTTGATTCGATAAACAAAGCTTCTGTTATCAATCTCTTCCTATACCCTGTGACATTAGATTTTAAAACTGTCATCCTATCCCATCCTATTGTATGGTTGTGTGTGACTGCATGTAGTGCTATAGCTGAACTATTCTCTAGATTTCTTATCTTATTTGGGTCAACCAATCTAGATTTTGCTAGGCTTTTATGTTCGGCTAGTCTGACTGCCCCTGTTCTACTAGTTTGACCTATGTATTTGACCTGACAATCATTGCAGGCAGGGTATTAGATAAACTAAATTGTTTTGTTTTAAAGGCTCCACCGGATCCTTTAACCGACAAAGCTTGTTTCTAATTGAGTTTGTGGTTGGTTTGAATGCCAGCCGCTTTTCTTCCTGCCTTGTTAAGAATTCTGCGTAAGATGGTTTCCGAGGCTTCTTCCTTGTATGGAATTACTACTGGTGATTTAGATTCAGGGTGCAGCAGTTCGGGTGTGAGGACAAATACTCGCCGAAGACATTGGCTAGCGGTTGCGCTATATCGTGAATTGGGAGAAGTTAGAATTCATGGGCCATTGGATCGGGTCCCAGTGGCTCAAAGGTCTACGAGCTCGCTAGCCTTGTAACCAGAAGGTCCTGGGCTCGAACGCTGGCGGGGAGTGCGTACTGATGAAGAGTCACAAACTAGGACGAAACAACTGTCCAGTATTCCCTCTTGGTTTTCCAATGGTTCTCTAACTGATATCAGCTCATGATGAAATCCTGTAACCAATCAACCAAATCCCTACAAACCAATAATTGAAGATTCCTTATTGTTGGTGTCGTCATTAATATTATTATTGTATTATTAATTATAGGAGAAGACAAAGAAAACTATAAAACTCAAGTTTCAAAGTCGTGTGATTACACTTGATATGATTATGAACAATAAATTTTGTTCGAAAAGTCATCCAGTAAATAAATACTGTTTCTAATAAACATAATAATATGGAATTATTTTTGTTATAGTTTTGAGGTGTTTTACATTTCGGCTTTATGGAACTAAGTGCTAGTAAGTGTACAACTGAGAAAGACGATTCTGTCAATAACTCAAAAGTTGGCTTAAAAAAGCGCAGTTCCTCCGGCCTATTGTCTTGTCTTATTCTGAGTAGGCGATTTATATTGCTGCTGAATTAAGGAAGACGCAGATTCCGCTGAACAAATGGAGTCAGCTGAGTATGGTTAGTTGTTTCCAGAGAAACTAACGTTGGCGAACTAGATGTATTGACTTAACTGACTTAGATTTCGCTTAACGTATTGGAAAAAGAGACATGATTTTCTCTAACATTTCTCTAACGATAGTTATGTCAATCTTTAAGAAAGGCTCAAAATTCTAGTCTAATAACTGAGGAAAAATAAGTTTGACAGGGGTATTTCCTAAAACCCAGGCCCTATAACCCCTGATGTCACGTAGAAATCAAATATATTGGCTATTCGACAAATCCTAGGATACCTTGGCAGTTATTGTTTCCAGGCATTAGCTATATGTTGAGATTTGACTGCATCATTTGGAAGGTTTTACGATGATATCTTTTGCAGAAAGTACATATTCTCAATGAAGGCTTTTTATTCAAATACCTGGAATATGCTGTCTGATGCGTTAAAAATGTTAACTTTACAATTGTCGCCACTCAAAGGGTTATACTTTTAATTCATGAGTCATCTACACCGAGTTTTCATCTAATTACATAGATTACAGTGTGTTTGCTTGAGCACTGTTTCACTTACCTTACGTAGTAAGTAGCATCAGACCTAACTGACTATTGACTGATGCTGTCGTAGTACGAATATAAGTCTCGTTTGGGTTTCAGTGAAATGCTTCATATATGGGACAGTGAAGAAATGCTATTGTTTACTGATGGCCGAATGTACTGTATGTATGGGAGCATAGGATGATGATCAAATGTGAAGGATTTATTTGAGCTTTCGTGGTATTGTCGGTGTTTGGTAGAATCACTATATAGTTGATGTAGAGTGTGAAGTAAGATAATTAAGTCATGATTCTTTTTTACCTTTTTCGGCTGGAATGTGTCCTACGCTTACCTACTGAATGTCTACCATAATTTATTGAGTCCCTGGGAGTGGTACCCTGTTGTTATGAAGCTGAAAGTGAGCAGTCTAAGTGGAGATATGTAGAAAATGTAAGTTGCTTGACTAGTTTTTGCATGCCTACAATTGTCTGTGAATGTATGTGCAACTTTAGGCAATACGTTTAGCATGGAGTTATACTGTGACGCAGATGCACTGAGGTTTATTATTTATGTTGGTTGCAATATCACATATCTGTTTTATATAACTTCGAAAGCCTTCTTTGACTTACTTTCATTTGCCTCGACTTTTCGTAGTCATGGCAGTGTAGACGACTACTATGTGATATACTCTCCCTGGTTATTAATAGTTCTCGGTAGTTGTAGGTAGATGGATAGGAAATAGGATTACAAGTTACCTAGTGACCTGAGTTTTTTGAAAGTTTATACTGCAAAAGCTGATAGAAAGAAACTTAAAGAATCTTTTCATATAATTACTTCCATCCTTATAATCATACTCAAATGTTACTACTTGTTACTTGTTTCATTCTTATTCACTTCTTAGCTATCCACTCAAATTCCAGTCAACATTTCTTTTTATTTTCTACTCTTACTCCTTTTAGTTCATCTTCTGTGGTGAATAATGTGTAGGAGGTGTTTTCCAATCACTTTCCATATTTTCATATAATGGATACCTAACGGAATTAGACAACACTATTTTTAGAAAAATGAATATGTCATCATAATATGTTGATTGATGCTTCATTATTTCAAATGTATGCAGTATTATTATTATTACTATTCCTTTGGGTTCCGAGTGGAATATAAGGCTTCAACAACACATCTCCACTCTTTTCTATTTGATGCTGTCCTCTTCAGCTGGGTGGGTCCACGATTGCTTATAATCTCTCATCTCCTTCTCACACGATCTCCTTCATGTCACCCTCTCACTGAAAATCCACTCGTCGCTTCCCATTGGGATTCCACTCGAGCAATAGCCTGCATTGTGCACGATGTCGATCGACGGCCTCCTCGACGTATGTCCGATTCATCTCCATTCCCGCCTACATATATCTGTTGAGGAGTCGACTCTTGGTTAGTTTGTTGCCAGGAAACGTATGCAGTAGTTTTTGAAGTCTATATTATATTACCCTGTAGAAAATAGATTTACTGTTGAGTCTATTAAAATTGGCCATATATTTATTTCTATAATATTAAATAAACTATAAAGTTCTATAAAATTCTTTATTTGCTTTCTTTTAACGTTTAAAATCTTCCCTTAGGATTCAAAAGTAACTGATCACATTAAGTAAAATTATGGTGAAAGTGTGTGTAGTAGGCTGTTTGCATGGCGAGTTAGATTGCGTGTATGCTAATATTGCAGAAGCTGAACGACAGGGTCAATTTAAAACTGATCTAGTTTTATGTTGTGGAGATTTTCAATCTGTTCGCAATCCTGCTGATCTAGATACAATGAGTATCCCACCTAAGTATTATCGTATGGGTGATTTCTGGAGGTAGGTCACATACTTTATCTATTACACCTTTATTGTTTAACGGTTATAATCAGCATTATTGTGGTTTTTTGAGCTTTTTTAAATGGTTGATGTACTTACTATTGTTCTGTGTAGGTGGTAATGAAATAAGGTTGAACCTCATCATATATCTATCTAATAGGGGTGAGTAATATTCAGACTAGTTCAGGGTGTTACGTAAGGGGGGGGAAAATCAGTCGATGAGGTTGTGAAGCTACTTCGATTGAGATGGCTAGGACATGTGTTGCACATGCCTAGCGATCCTTTAGCTGACACAGGATGGATTAGGTTGGAAAAGAGTTAGTGGTGGACATCAGTCTATGAGGTCTTTGACAGTTTAGTTTGAGCCATATAGGGAGGTGTAGAGTGACTTCGTGGGGTCTTCGGCCTTTAGATTCTCAGTTGTAGTATGTTTTACGATGGCCTGCAATTCTTTAAGAGGTGAGAATCTGGACTCTTGGTTTCAAATTTACTTTATTTTAATTACACTTATCACAATCAAATTAATTAACTAGTTAGAAAAATAATAGATCGAGACGAAAAACCAGTAAGCATGTGCATTGGTGGCACAGTGGTAAGGACTCTCGCCGATCATGCACATGATCCGTGTGGTGAGAGCAGCCTGCTAGCCTATTGGTTTACATTAATCTACGTCGATATCTAGGTCACTAATATGGGCCGTGAGAAAATATGAACAAGGCTGAACAACAACCAATCACAGCAAACTTAAACGTGGGCAAATATGATTCGCAGACAGATGGCTCCACTTTCTGAGGAACTCGAAAACAACCAATCAGAAGACCGCGTTTGTCTACTTGACTACGCTATAATAATGTATGTGAAATTTATATAAGTACGTGTTGATTTCCGTAATAAAACGATCTGTTGCCTGGCCCTTGTCTTCTGTTGTTACATCCGGAGTTCGATCCTCTGCCGACGCACACTTGATATATATAGTCGGCCTGGAAAGTTTGGGCTACCGATATCACATACTGAAAATTCCATACCTCTATAAAAAATTCGGTGTGGAATCAAGCTGTAATAAAAAAATGGAATTTTGGGAGACAAAGGGAGTGACATAAACCAACTGCAACACTCACTTCAAAAAAAAACTATGCCTAATATCTAGGATGATTCGAAAGTTGATTGAAATGTGCGGCACAGTAGCATCAAATTTTTTAATTTAATTACACAGGAATTGATCACATTATCTATTCGAGTGTTGGTTTGTAAAGATTTGATTGGTTACGGGATTTCATCATGAGCTGACATTAGTTAGAGATCCATTGGAAAACCTGGGAGTACTGACCAGTAGGGTGCAGCAGGTTGGTTGTGAGGACAAATACTCGCCGAAGACATTGGCTAGGGGTCACGCTATGTCGTGAATTGGCAGAAGTTAGAATGCATGAACTGGTCATTGGATCGAGTCCCAGTGGCTTAATGGTCTACGAGCTCGCTAGCCTTGTAACCAGAAGGTCATGGTTTCAAACCACGGTGGGTGCGTATTGTGAAGAGCCCCAAACTAGGACGAAACAGTTTTCTTGTACTCTCAGGTTTTCCAATGGTTCTCTGACTAATGTCAGCTTATGATGAAATCCTGAAACAAATCATCTATGTAAAATTTATGGCTAGCGCAAATACTTTTATGCTCAATGATATTTATTGAAAAATTAGGTCAGAAGAAGATGAAAATGTGATCAGATAATGAATAATTTTGGATCTTTTAAAAAAATTAGAGTGAAAAAGGCAAGAAGTTCAACAAAGATATCTTTTTGCCGATTCAATCCTCAAAAGCAGTCACAATCGCATTCTTATGCATAAGTTTACATAGTAACAGGTATTATTCAGTCCAACACAGTAACAAAGGGAGATTAACGGTGTGATAATAGTTTGGAAGAAACGAAATTCCATAGGATTAGAAAATAGTCGCTCGTTACGTAAAGTAGCTTTTTCTTAACGAAGACAATAGTGACCTTGAATAGCATGGAAGCCGATTGTGAAATAACAGTTTTTGTTATTAAAGGTAGAAATATGAAGGGAATTTAAAAAGCTCTGCCTGTGAATATGATTTGTGGAAAATACATTCTATCGGGATTTGAACAAACTTTTCAAAGATACATATTTATTGGTTTCTTTGAATGCATCTCTTTTATGTCATTGGCTTCCTAAGTGAAAAATAGAACTCCAAGCTTGATCTGTGAGATTACAGGTGCTGTAATGTTGTTTTCACCGGGTGAGGTTACTAGCCTCACGTTGCCCAACCTCTCCCCTCTTTACCAGGCTGATTATCGGCTGAGAGAAGCTTGGCAGTGATGCGTCAGCTAGGAACAGAAACTCGACCATGCGCTTGGTTTGCGGGTATTCTGTCAACAAACCGCCAACTCACGTATGTATATATACATATATATACGGGTGTGGCTCAGCTACTAGTTACACATTATTGAGATTCAGTCAAGTTAGTTCAGATTTGTGTAGTATTTTCAAGAGAACTGGTATATATGGAAATCGGCAAATTCTTTATTGATTAGTGGTCATTATGATGTATCTATTCGTCATACCTGAAAGTGTCTATTAATTGATCAGTTACACTATTAATTGCATGCGATTATTTGATTACAAATACTGTCTTGATTTTTGTTTAACGCTACCAAAGATATTATGCAGAGGAAACTAGAGCGCCTGTTTTAACATTGTTTGTCGGTGGCAATCATGAAGCATCTGCTTATCTTCAAGAGTTACCTTATGGCGGTTGGGTGGCCCCAAATATTTGGTACATGGGTAAGCTAAATCCTCTGATAGGATAATTCCTTTAATTTTTATTTTTCTTTGGGTGCAATACTTCATTTATTTGACAGTAGTCGGCTTTTAATCTGTACACTTTCAATGTTTGAGCACTTGCAATTTTTTGTTTGGATGGCCAGTTTATAGCATTAATTGTATCACATTATATTAATATAATTATTATTGTTCCCTTGGGTTTCTAGTGGAACACAGGGCTTTAACTGCACGTCTCCACTTGCTTCTGTCCCCTGCTGTACTTTTCACCTGCATCCATGTTAGCCCATACTCTTTCAACTCCTATTCACACGATCTTCTCCATGCCACCCTTGGACACTCGCCGCTTCCCTTTCGGCCTGGTTCCACTCGAGCAATCGCCTGACGCGCGCGCGATGTCACCCAGCGGCCTCCTCAGCGAGCAAGTGTCCAATCCATCTCCACTTTCTCCTGCATATTTGTTGGTTGGCGATTGATTCTTGTTTTGTTTGTTCCCAGCCATAGTTTCTTGTTGGTGATTCTTTCCGGCCCGGCCATCTGATCTTCAGTATAGATCCAGCGAAGACAGTTGTTGGTTGATAAAGGTCTGCAACAGGCTGTTGGTTGGAAATATTCTTTGTGACCCGCCCGCCAAGTTTCTCATCCGTTCCGTATAGAAGAACTGACTGACTTGACGTTTGTATTGAAAATCCGACCGAATTTTGTTGTTGATGCTGGCTGAGTGACGAAGATTTCCAGATTGGTTTCAGGTTGATGAATGTGTTTTTCGCCTTCCCGATTCTCGCTCGATTTGACATCCTCGTCCGTTCCGACCGCCTTTAGTTGAGACAATGCTCCCTAGATAAGTGAATGAAGTAACCTCTTTCAAATCCCTCCCGTTGATGGTGATTGGCGCTGGATATTATTATTCCATTGGTTGCGGTCAGTGGAACATAAGGCTTCAACAGTACGTCTCCACTTTAATAATAACAGCTTTATAATTATAACAGCTTTGTCCTGTTCTGCGCAGTTCTCGTAAGTTGACCCCACGATTGCTCTTAAGCCTTCATCTCCTCCTTGTATGATCTCCTCCATGTCACTTTTGAACGTCCAATTTGTCGCTCTCCAAACGGGTTCCTCCTGGGGTCCTGGCGTAACACCTACTAGCTGAAGTCCACTGATTAATTCATAAACAGATTGGAAAAAACGACCAGGTTATTAGCACTATTTTATGTTGTTTGGAATTAGAGCATTCAAAAAAGTAAGAAAGATGTTGCCTTATTCGAAATGGAATCTCAGATTCGTAAATTATGTTGACGGTTAAACGACTGTAACAATAAAAGTTGTTTCGTAGGTAGCTTGCTTTAATTCTCAGATGTTGTTGCATACCTTTGCATGTTCATTATGAAGATCACTTTTTCTTTTCTCTCTTAGTGTATTGAAAGACGTATGCTATAACGCCTACATTATTTTTTATGGTATTGATTATATTTAAAGGTTGTTCACCATTACTAGTAATTGCTAATTTCTCTTTTTTTTAAGGTTATGCTGGTGTTGTTCAGTTTGCTGGCTTACGAATAGCTGGTTTATCCGGTATCTACAAACAGCATGATTATACTATGTCGCATTATGAACGTCCACCGTATACAGAAGCAACAAAACGCTCTGTTTATCATTTACGAAATTTAGAAATTTTTCGATTAGGACAAATTCGTCGACGTTTAGATATCGTATTCAGTCATGATTGGCCTCGTGGAATATATCATTATGGGAATATAAATCAACTTACTAGACGAAAACCTCATTTTCGCAGTGAAATAGATTCAGATATTTTAGGTAGTCCACCTGGTGAACAATTATTATGCCGGTTAAAACCTCGATATTGGTTTTCAGCTCACTTACATTGTAAATTTTCAGCAGTTGTAGAGCATTCAGTAAGTTGATGAATATGTGTACTAATTAAGTCTATTACACATATTAGCATTTTATCTTGTAATTTTTATACTTTTTTCAACGAAATAATC